GAGTGGCGGCGCGTGCACGCGTCTAGTAGCGTGGCTCGTTCTTCTTTTCGGCGGATAGCAGGTTAAAAATAGTGACGGGCCATCCTAGAAAAAGTAAACGGGGCCGCGGGCCTCGATCTTCGTGCAGCTGACTATGAAATTCACGAAGGATCGCTGCCCGAAGACAAAGGCGAACCAAACGTTCTCCGCGTGGAATTGACTACGAGTGGGGATTAGAAAAATGCGTGCGGACCGAGGACAGAAGCCAATGGTGTTAAAAAAGAAGGGTGAACGGTCCTTTGACTGACAGAGAAGAGAACGTAAGAGTAGCAAAGAAGATCCTGAAAGATAGCTGCAGAAAGAACGAAGAAGAAGAATTTAATCCGTCTTTTGGGCTATTTCAGATACAATCGTGTTTGTCTATTAAAAGATTTGTTAAGCATTTCTGAGTTTTCTGACTCACATCCGATATTTTGTCGTGACTAGTTTACGTTTAATTATAGTTCTATTTTTTGTCATTTATAATGCATCTTTGGTAATATATATCCATTGATTTATGTATTTTGATACAAAATATTAATCTGTAGCATATGTTAAAAAAAGGACCATTTTCAAATCGAGCTGGAATGTACAGCTACAAAAAGGGAAATAAAACTTAAATTTGAGGAAGCTATGAAAGAAACATCAGAAAATTTAATTTAGTGGATCTTGTCCTCGTAATAATTTCTTTAGAAAGAAATTATGACATTAATCGTGGCAGTAAATGTTACGCGTGTAGCTTCATATATCAGCAACAACGATATATTTTCAAATATCTTATCATAATCTTTCTTCTCAAAATGTTAAGCCTTTTAATCTGAAACCAAACCATTAAAATTGCAACATGAAAATTCCACAACCAGAGAACATAAAAGATAAAAATCTAAAATGGATAGAAAACAAGACGAAAGTACCTAAATGTAGTTGGCAGAAGATGACTGAAGGGAGCGATAGAGACGAGCAAAAATTAAAAGGGAAGAAGACGACGTGGAAACGGAAGACAAAAGAAAAGAGGAGAAAAAGAGAAAGATGAAATGAGAGGCAGGTATATGTATAGAGGAAGAGCCCGCGGGGTAAATACGCCCCTGAGACACGCAGAAACGAAAAACGGCGATGCCGGTGTTTAAGAAGCGAGAACGATCGCTTCCGCGAAAGGCTACGCCATCTGCCTTGCCTGGAAATTTGCGGATTTCGCGTGTATCGACGATTATTACAGGACATCCTCTGGTTCGGTTCCTCCACCCTCGAAAATTGATCGAGATGGAACCTACAGCGTTTAACCTGCCGGCAAACAGGACCTCCTGGCGTGTTTTCGTGCTTAGCCGACCGATCAAATTGCAGAGAATCCAGATAGAATAAGTACTATTGCTTGCAGTTGACAGATCTCTCGTGCCACAGCTGCGCATTTCGAAACCGCGTTTTAACGTCTCCTTCGTCTTTTTCTCGTATCTCCTTCCCGAAGGATTTCACGCTCGACCAAGAGTTACTTAAAAAGTTTTCGATCGAGACGTCGTTTCGTCTCGTTTCGTTCGCCTCCCTTCGACTCTGTTACGTGCCAAGATTGTAATGGGTTGTGTAAAACGGTTGCATTTTCTATTATGTAAAATCGTTAGGTGAAAGTGAGGCGATCGAAAAGTTTTTTCAAATCATCGTCCAGTCGTTCAGTTGAATATCTATCGATTGGATTCTGTTGATTCAGTCGTGGGGATTGTGATATCGGTGGAAGTTTTTACATCGATGTTAGTGGTTAGACTGTTCTGTGTTAATGAGTTTCTCTGAGTAGTCAATATTATTCTTTGTTCGTTCTGGATTGTTGAAAACATAAGAGCTTGTGCTATTTGTGTTAACTGTTTCACTAGATCGTAAAGATCGTAGAAAATAGCTTTGGCGCGTACATTCAGATTTTTAATCGAAAATATATGCTGTTTAAGGTGATGAATAATATCGAACAGAAATGAAACGTAAAAGGAAATTGAGCTCTATTTTCTCATAACGTGTAATCCATTTTTCTCGTGATACACAATCGGTATTTTTGCATCTCTACAGTGTGACACTAGGAGTTATCAATTTAAATTCTTATCGAATTTAGTATTTCATAACTTGAATACCATTTCGAACATTTCATTTTATATTTGACTTGTTAATGTTCTGATTTGTTACACTAAGACGATCATAGACAGAGCGCAACAGTTTTCCCACGCAACGATTCACGTGCAGCGATTGCAGTAGTTACAGATAATGCGTAAGACGCGAAGTAGTATAAAACAAGAGGCGTTATTTCTGGCCAGTCTGGAAGACAAATAATTCGCTCGCCAGTGCGTGGCGATAATCAGCCATCAAGAAAGTCGTGAGTAGCTGCAAACGAAAAAAGAACTGGCATGCGCTCGACGCGCAGTATATTTATATTACATAACGTTACTTCGTACCATCTCGATCAACGGCAACGCGTTTTCGATGCATTCGATTCCAGCATGATTATCT